TTGATAGCTTTACACTAATGTTGCAATTTAGCTATAGTGGGTTTCTATGGTCTATGGTCAAAGTTCTTATTATAGAATCATCTGTTAACCTGTTACTATAAATAAATGAAATCAGCTCATCATTTGACGACTAGCCGTTGAATTGTTTAAAAGTAATGCACACCTGCTTTGCTTTGCGTTATGGTTGTTACCTCGGGTGTGCATTATTCTTATCAATTATTCAGCAGCTCGTCGTTGATTATTCCTTACAAATAGACTACTGATTATCCCTCTTGTGTAATGGTTACCACACCTCAAGAAATTGTTCAGATGTGTTATTAAAAGACATTTGTCAGGTTTTTGGACTTAAAACACTCTTGGGTTTAGAAATAATTTCTTTCACATCCCATCCCAAGTTTGATAGGTTAAACACCAGCTAATGTTGTCAAAAGTACCGACTTCGGTACCAGTCGGTACTGAAATGTAAAAAACGTCCATTTCCTGCTGATAGATGCGGCTTTTAAACTCTCCCGTGTGCTTCTGTGTGAGCGCTTGGTGAAGAGTGTGAAGCGATGATCATTGTAGCCAATCACAGATTATCTGTTGAGCACATGAACACATTGGCCAATCAGCAGTGTTTAAGAATTGGCTTAACAGCGCTCGAATGAAAAAATGTATGTTTTTAAAATGTCACTCTTGACAACACTAGCCCCCGCTGATAATTTCAAAATGGCATTTTAGTGTTAGTAACAGGAGATTGAGCCATTGATTATAACAGAAAGAGAGAGAGTTTAACAGTTGTAAGCTGTAAGTTTACCTGCTTAAAAAACAGCTACTGAGAAATGTCATGTAGCTTTTCAGTTGTGAAACTATATTATCGAAAAAGTAATGTATAGGGCAAAATTTCTGTGTGCATATAGATTTCCGTCTGTGTGCCTGTACAGTATGTGTGTGCAGAAAGAGCAGAATAAAGAAATCATGATTTCCATAGTAATAAAAGGGAATTTAGTGGGGGAAAACGTGAAAATTGTTTGTCATTTTTATCCTATTGTTTGTTATATTTATTTTCTTGATCAGTGTCTTTGTAGGTTTTGATTTCATTTGCTGTTGTAGGCCTTTGAAATACAGTATATATAAATATATGTCACATATATGACACAGAGTCTCTCTCTCTCTCTCTCACACACACACACACACACACACACACACACACACACACCAGCATATACACATTAGACCTTCTTCTATTTTATTCTCTACTCCTCTTTCTTTCTACATCCTTTTCCTTTCTGTCCACATCATTGCATCATCCCCTCTACATGGTTAGCATGTTTATACACATCTCCCAGCACCTTACCCATTTTTCCTGCACTCTTTTTGTTATTTAAAAGGGTCAGGGGATCTCTATGAACAATGCCAAACCCTTTCTTCCCACATCCCAGCATCTGTCTTCCTCTCTTGCTCTTCTCTATTGAAGTTGTGCACTTTACTGGAGAGGTGTATACAATGATAAGATGATCCTGACAGGGCCAGCCTTGAGATGTCTTGAGCACATAGTTCTCGCTCTCTCAGAACCTTCAGTACACGCAACATAATGTGAGAACACTCATAAAGAGAATATAGATAAAAAACAGAATATAGATCAACATTTTTACTCTATTAGGAAACAAAACAAGAATTAATTAATTGAAGCTTAAAGGGATAGTCAACCAATAATGAAAATTCTGTCATTAATTACTCAACCTCATGTCGTTCCAAACCTGTAAGACCTTCGTTCATCTTCGGAACACAAATTAAGATATTTTGATGAATTCCAAGAGCTCTCTGACCCTCCCATAGACAGGAAGGATCCTAACACGATCAAGGTCCATAAACATAGTAAGTGTTTGTGTTCCGAAGATGAACGAAGGTCTTACAGGTTTGGAACGACATGAGGGTGAGTAATTAATGACAGAATTTTCATTTTTGGGTGAACTATCCCTTTAATATGATTTAGCTTGTAACTGGAATGTGTTTGCTTTCATTCTTTCTATAGAGTTTCTGTGCACATTTAGTGTACATTCAGCAAGCTCATGTGTAAGTATTTATGTGAAGCCGAGGTCAGAAGTTGACTCATAAATTGTGCTTTTCAGTTTTGGAATTTCAGTTCAGATTCAGATTAGGTTATTTTGAGGTCAGCGAAATCTATATTTCAGTGCCATTCATCTGCCGTTCAAAATATGCTAGAAAAGGAAACACTCGCAGCACAAGAATTCACCCTCTAATTTTCTTCATTCCCTGGTTTTCCCTTTCCATAACCTCGAAACATCCCTTAGCTTCCACTCTGACCATTTATTGAAAAGCATTCACTCTAGCCACATTTCAATGACAGTGAATTGTGTGTTTGTTGATCTCTTTGATTTACACTTTGGCTTTTTTATTGGTTATGTAGTGGCTGTTGGTTTTTGCAAGGTCTTCTCTGAAAAGGGTTTAGAGTTGTATATTTTGTATTAACAAGAACAGTAACGAATATGCAGTCAGACAATTAATATTTAATCCTGTTATTTTTTTCTACCTACAGTTATTTTATCCTGAACAAGCGGACAGGGTTCCTCATCATAAAGGAGAACGCTCCTCCTGGGAGTTATGACTTTCAGGTTCGAGTGTCAGATGGGGTGTGGCCGGATGCCATCTCTAGCGTGAAGGTGAATGTGAAAGAGCTACGGGACGATGCCATCTACAACTCAGCCTCTTTGAGATTAGCAGGTACAGATGATATTTACCTCATGACAGCATGATGTAGTGCTGTTTGCCTTTAAAATGAGATTTCAGCTGATCAGTAATCAGTGCTAGCTTTTACACTTGGGAATTTTTCTTCTCTCCAATTATCTGCAAATTCCGCTAGAACCACATACATGGCCCTGTCCCAAATGGAACACTTCATATGCACTTGCGGTCTTACAGACTTACAATGGCCGCTGTGTGCGCGTGTACGTTAACTCCACGAGACCGTAGGGTGTCCCATTTAGGGTGTCCCATTTGTCATTTTAGCATTCAAAAGGGTGTTCACGGGCGCGTTCGCGGACTGAGGAAGACCGCGAGGGTTTAGGGTGCCATTTGGGACAGGGCCCATATAGTGTCTTTTCAGACTTTTTATCAGCCTTTGGTGAGTACCATTTTTATAGATAACTTTTTTTTGCTTTTTTTTTGTTAAATAAGATTAAAGTTTGAAAAATCTCCTCTTTGGTTTCAATAGAATTATCCATATTTATTTATAGCATTCAGTGATGGTGTAATAATAATTCCGTATTGGTCTCATCTTTCTTGCATCCGTTTAACCATCTATAGCCGTGTTGATACTGCAAAGGCACGTAAGTTCTTTCACGCTTTGATACTTATGCACAGTCAACAAGAAACAATGCAGGCTCTGTTTTATGACAACAGCAGCTCTGATGCATCATTTTATTTGTGGAGAACTAAAAGCCTGAAACCTAAGCTTACCTACTATAAAATTATTCTTTAGTCTTTTTGGAATGCAAATGGATTATACAGTGTGCATACAAGGCTGCTGTAAATGTTACTTCCAATTGAAATAATTTTAAAGGCTCTAAAACTAATTTGATTGGTAATGAATGGCACTCTGTATACAGGACTGTTGAGACTTGAGCCGAGTCTGTGTCCAGTGCTTATTTCAATCAAAGACATTAAAATAGTTTGATGGTTTGGGCCTGGAATCAGGATCTGTGTTGATTGTGTGCCATGTTGTGGCAGTAAAACTCATGGGCTTATTGACTTTGGTGACATTATGACAGCCAGAGTTTTAATGAAAACAAGACTGAGCTGAAATGAAATGAAATGGACTCTAGCTGAGGTTTTTGTAGTTTTAAGACTATTAAATTGGGGGAGAAGGCCTTGTGGGAGATGGAGAGACAGAATATAAAATGTAAGACAATAGCAAACTCATAAGCCTATAAAGAGATTTTTCTTTGATTTCAGCAGTGCAACTGAATTTATGACAGGCATGGAACAACAGCAAGCAGTTTTTATTATTGCTCATTGTGACTTCACAAATAACTTCACAAATGTCTTGTAACCACAGTGTATATGTAAATGCCTCTTCTTTATATAATCTCTGACAATCCCTAATTGAAGCAAGATTATGTGTGGCATTAAAAACAATCTTAGTTACTTTTATTGCATTTTCATAGTTTTATCAGATAATCTACGGTGGTCTGTGCAATTAGATATCCGTCCCATATTTCTGTTTAGTCTTTAAACGAAATAATTTGGTGATTTACTATTAACCCTCTAGGGCAGGGTTCCTCAATAGGTGGCCCGTGAGAGAAAAAATATGGCCCGCGCTATTTTCAAATAATGTGGCATGAAAATTCAAACGCAGCATCAGAAAGCTACATTAACTTACGTCGTGTCTACACTGGACGCGAGCAGCGCGGCGTGACACGACAAATCCCCGACAGTAAACTGCTGACTCGTTCTATTTATAACATACTGACAAAAAGTTCAAACGGTATTTTAAAAATTCATATCATAACAAAAATAAACACCGGTATTCGGTATGAACGGGTATACCGCCCAGCACTAAGTGAGTGACTGATACCATTTTATTGTCACGTGCTGCCTTCGCGGGTGGTTAGAACAAAAACTCCATGGAAAAGATACTTTTTTATTGCGTCATGTCTGGTTGGGACACATGGTGTTACAA